ATTAGTTCTATGCTTGAATGGTCACCATGATCTTTCACAATACCATCATAGAAACTCCTAGCCATTTCCTGAAAAAAGCACTAAACTAAGAGATGTGATGTTAAGTTTGATGTTCAGTTGATATAGTTCGTATTTCCTTGTGCATTATAATTCTATCCTGAGTATTTCCTAAGGATATTGGTGATTGATGTTAACATGAAATGACGTCGTGTGGGACAATGGTAACCAAGAACATACTGAGCACCTCAACATTGCTACCCACAATATTGGAATATATTTATTTATATACTTCGAATAGGTTGTGTAGTTGATGGGTTAATAACATCCATATTAAGTCATTATGGTTGTTTACTCGAACATTAAATATAACTGTTGAAGGAATGTTTTTATTTAAAGAAACCAAATGGCTATCACATTATCAAGGCAGCACATTGGGACACCAGTCTGCTGTTGCATGGAGTACTGAAATGCCCCTCCACCCATTCCATCTCTACTATCACATTAACCATTTGTGATCTCACTTGCAACTCTGAAATGATGTGCCACATGGAGAGCAGATAAATCACTTGAAAGGGAATGAAAATAGAAAAGTACTTTCCTGAGGTTGAGGCAGGACAACAGTAAAAGCTGTCTGCCTTTAGGTCAATCATTTGTGCCTCAAAGTATTTTTTTGAATATGAGGAAATCAAAACTTATCACTAGATCTCCACTTTTGACAATAAAACACATTGTCAGGTACCTTCCCTTTATTCAAAGCCTTACTTTGTTGACTGAGTAACCTTCCACGTAATGCTCAAACTCAGTTGTTTCTTTAATTGTAGAGTTAAGTCAAGAGATCATGATTGCTTTTGTGTGTGTTACTGAGAAGTTAGCACTGCAGATTTGGCTTTTAAGCTCAATTCCTCAATAAAAGGGCACAAAATGAAGTAGGCTAAGGAATGCCAGGAGTTTCCCAAATGTCAAGTGTAGTAATCATAAAAATGTATAAATTGTATAAACTGTATGCATAATATTTTTTTGAAAAACCATAACTTGGAAGGATGGTCTTAAACCATTGTTAGCTCAGATACAAGCATTTGTTGATACCTTCTACTTGATGTGAGGGCGATAGAATACTTGCCTTGCCTTGGTTTATGCTCAGAAATATCAGAATCTCACACAATGCAAGAAATTATATTATCCTAATTATATCTTTGTATCTTTCTGTATTGTCAAGCAGTTGATCATGCTAAAATTAAGCTGGCTCGCTGATTGTTTAAACTGAGAAAAAGGTGAAGTTGCATAGCTCTACCTCAAAACTTCCTAAGTTGTAACACTACCATTTTTACAAACTGGGATACTTCTTTCCAGATGTTAAATTGTGCTTGTAATAGGCAGAATTGCTGCTCAGATTATAAATAGACATGTAATAGTACTGTGCATTAAATCTCAAGATACAGTTTAGTCAGACATTTTATACCTTGTTTATCGAATGAATTGTAATTATTACCGACTTAATTTATCTGTATGAACTTCCTCATAACTTTGAATTCAACTTGATTGACTTATGGTGCAGCCTGCTATTAGGTTATACAATTGTAATTTAATTTTTTTGAAGTTTGCATTTTTTGGACTGACGTGTTAGTATCAATAATATGTAATTTTTTAAATCATTTCTGAATTGTGTAATAAAATCATTTACTTGGTATCTGCCATTTTTGTGTGGTATGACATTATTTAATGTTTGAGTAACAGCGGTGCTGCAGTTGCAGATGCATCAGGATTGTTGTCTACAGTAAAGTGACATAATTTTTTTTTTACTTGTATGCTTTGGCCAAAGGCAGGGCCTTTGCTCATTGTCTGCTGATACTTCAATCTGAGCTGATTCCTCCATTTGTTTTTTGTCAGTGGGTGTTTGCCATGCCTTCCACACTCTGTCAGGGTAAGGAGACAGATCCTAAACCTATCTCAGCCAGAACAGAAATTAACCCCGTGCTTTTGACTTTAGTTTGAACCGTGTCCTAGCTAATTGGCCCTGAAAAGTGACATGTATGGAATGGAAAAAAATTTTGAAGCATCAGGATGTCAGGATACAAAGCTTAAAGATAGGTGACAGCAAGCATATCCAAGTTTAGGAGGCATTTCACAAGAAAAGTTTGGAGTCTCTGGGTTTCAGAAATTGACTAACTGTATTAACTAGTTGTATGTCCACTTATACTGTTCCATGCAGTTTATAAATTTGGATTGCATTCTTAAAATGCTCACCTGGATATAGATATTTGTATGGTTTACATTTTGAAGCTTGTATAGATTGTTAGAAATAAAGTTAGAAATGATGATTGTCTTATATTTCTAAACTATAGTAGTGTCAAGGTTACTACTGTTTTGTTATTCAAATACAATAAAATCGTTTCTATGTTTTCAAAAAACCACCAAAATGTTTTCACTAAATTACTATATCACTTTTTAATTCAGTTAATTTATTTTTAAAAGGATATGAAGATATTACAGAGGTTGCAGAAACAACTTATTAAAATGTTTCCAGGAATGAGGGACTATGTGGATAGATTGAAGACATTTGCATTGTATTTAGAGTGGAAAGTGTAATGGAGGTTTGATTGAGGAATTTTAAATTTTAAGGATTTGGACAGAGAAGATCAGAAGACATGAACAGGAAAAATTTAGAGGGATATGGGCCAAACGCAGGCAAATGGGACTAGTTTAGTTTAGGAAACTTGGTTGGCATGGATGAGGTGAACCGAAGGGTCTGTTTCCACGCTGTTTAACTGTGACTATGACTCTGTGACTAAATTGTTCCCATCAGCTGAAGGGTGAAGAACTACAGGACAAATTTGAGATGAAATGGTAGAACAACCAACTGTGACATCCGGTAACATGTTTTGTGTGTAGTGTGTCTTTAGGTTCTGTAATGTGTAATGCCTTACAGAATGGTAGAGGAAGATTCAATCACGATTTTCAAAAGGAGTTGGGTAATTGGAGAGAGTAAATTTACAGGGCTATAGAGAAAGGGCTAGGATGCGATTGCTGATTTGCTCTTGCAGAGTCATGGACGCAAGGCCAAGTGGCCTCCCATCATACTGTACCCATTCTATGATTAGATATGATGTTTAAATGAATGTAACTAAATTACATAAACCAACAGATTTAATAATTACAGTTAGGAATAATATACAATACAGCAGTGTTTTCAGAGCCACAAAATTGAATGGAAAATAGTAGAGAAAGAACAATGAGCAGAAATAGAAACTGATTTACCAGAACTCGAGTGACTGCAATTCAATAGCACTTGAATCTCACACTGAAATCACTGAATAAGTAGCTGTCATAATAAAGAGAGGTTTGGATCAGTATTCTGGTTGAATGGGAGCCACAACTGGTGCCTCACAAATCTATCAAAACAGTAGCATCTACCTTTTTTCATCAGGCATGTTATAACATGAGACAGCTGACTTTCTGCTGTGTTGCATTGGCTTTATTCTGATTTGATAATGATTTTCAAGGCCTGTTGTGCTCAGTTATTGTCACCTTTTCTCAACTGTGTTAATGTTGATTATTAAAGTTCATGTAGTCAGAAACTTTCCAAGTCAGTTAGATCTGAGAGCCAGAGAAGATTCTGTTTTGTAATCATCTAATGTCTGCTGAAGTTGTAACTGTTCGTTATTAGTTTCTGGCCCTTCATGTTTCATGGAGAATTTAGTCAGCAATCAAATTTGCATATTAATAATTGAATAATTAAATTAATATCCAAAATGGCATTATGAACGTACTCTTTAAACATTTACAGAATTTGAGTCTTTTCTAATTTTTTCCCGATACTTCTAAAAATGGCAATTCTTGCTGTAGCACAACAGGGCAAGGGCAGAGGAGGATAAAATTCAGTGCTTTGAGAACTTTGCAAAATGGAAGGAAAAGAATATAATAAAAGGCTCATAACACACAATTGTCAGCAGATGGTGCCACATTCCTTGAACTACTGTGTGCAGGAGCTCATGGCAGAGAATCACAGATGATTTGGATGGTGTATTCCCACTGCCAACTCATTACCGCAACTAAAATCAACAGGTTTAACTATGCAAAAATTCTTCACTAGATTCTCCCTTCTAATACATGGTATGCATTTTGTGGCAGGAACAGAGGGCAATGCCCATTATTTGCAAGAATGGAGTGTTGATTTCCTTTCATTTCACCCCAGCTGTTAGCAGTACATCCTGGGATGTGGCAGTTAAAAGCACAGAATTTAGAGTCATACAGCATAGAAACAGACCCTTTGGTCCAACCAGTCTAGGCCAACCATAATCCCAACCTAAATTCATCCAATCTGCCTGTGCTTGGCCCATATCCCTCCAAACATTTCTTATTCATGTACTTATCCAAATGCCTTTTAAATGTTGTAACTTACCTGCATCCACCATTTCCTCTGGAAGTTCATTCCACACACAAGCCACTTTGTGTAAAAAAAAGTTTGCCCTCCATGTCTTTTAAATCTTTCTCCTCTCAGATTTAAAAACATGCAGTTCAGTCTTGAAATCCCCTACCCTAGGGAAAAGGCACCTTCTACTCACTTTACCTATACCTCTCATGATTTTATAAACCTCTGCAAGGTCACCTCTCAACCTCCTATTCTCCAGCCCATCCAGCCTCTCCTTGTAATTCAAACCTTCCATTCCGGGCAACATCCTGGTAAATCTCTTCTGAACCTTTTCCAGCTTGATAATTTCCTTGTTATAACAGGCAACCAGAACTGGACACAGTACTCCAGACGCCTTACCTATGTCCTGTACAAGTTCATCATATTGTCCCAACTCCTTTAATCATAGGTCTGAGCAATGGAGGTAAGTGTGCTAAATTTCTCCTAATGGGGGGAGAGAGTCTTGGATGGGAAACTCCAAACATCTGGACAAGGACTTCATTAGGAACTGTGATCCAGTATGTGGGCAATTCTGCTTTGTTTACAGGATGTCCTTGCCTCTTCTAAAGCCACAATGTCTTTCCTCTTCCAGAATTATCTTGGTTATTGGTAGATTTCCTCTTGACAGTCGAATCCTGCCAGATAATCGGCATGAATATTCTGTTACCTTGAGCCATGAAAATGGAACTGGAATTGCTGGCCTACTGAAATTCACGGGAAAATTCTCCTGCAGCTTTTGATGTCGTTATCCACAGTATCCTCCTCCAATGCCTTTCCTCTGTGTTTGTCAGAATGAGTATAACCACACCTGGTTCCACTGGTATCTGTATAAGCATAGCCAGGGGATCCTTGCTAATGGCTTCTGATTGCCCTCTGTGCTATTAATCCGATGTTCCAAATGGAGGTATCCTTGGTCCCTCCTATTTCACATGTACATCAAACTTCCCATGTACGCTGACAATACCCAGTTCTACTTGACCACCATCTCTTTCAATCTTACCAACTGTGTTATTGGGCAACATGTCTGATGTTTAATCCTGCAGGAAATTTAGTCTACTTACACATTAAGAGGACATGTCATCATCTTCAACACATACTCAAACCCTGCTAACTTGTTATTGTTTCTGTTCCTCTCCCTGGCCACTGTCTCCGGTTGAATTAGGAAGCTTTAAGGACTGAATTAATCCTTTGCTGGACTTCCAAACCCATCATCATCTGCTACTCAAGCCTTCAACTATATCCATATTCAAGTATCTCAATGTATTCCTGGCTAGTTCCCTATCTTCTACCCTACATGAAGTTGAATTCAATCAAATCCTCTACTGTCCATATCCTAAGCCGCACCAAGTCATATACAATCCTCATCCTTGTGTTCACTGATCATGTCGGCTGTTGGACAACCAACATGTCAAATTTAAAATTCCCATTCTTGTAATTAGATTCCTCCCTGGCATCACCCTTCATCACACTATTTTTTTGGCTTTACAACACTCCGAGAACTCCACTTTCCTCCAACTTTGGCCCCTGGCACATCCTCTAATCTCTTTGCCGATTCATGTCAGTACTTCTAACTATCCAGACATCACAAACTCCGGAACCTGCTCCCTGAGGCTTGCTGTCTTCCTTTAAGAGTCATCTTAAAGTCTGCTTTTGACCGGGCTATTGACTATTTTTAGTTCTATCAAGTTTACTCTGATTTCATTCTTGTTATGCACTTTAAGGTGTTTCCTATTTTAAAGCATCATAAAATGCCTTTTGTTATCCACCTTTCACCTGATATCTAGAAAAACCTATAACACATATTCAACAACAGATGGCAATGTGTTCTCATTTGAACAAGATGCACTCCGCATTAACCTTCTCAAATCATACCTTATGACATTCACTGGACAATTCAATGTGTCAAACCCAACTTAAGTGCTTTGGAAGTGCAGTCTCTACTGTGGATAGAGTTGGCTCATCTCATCACCCCACTATTTTACCTCATGCGTCTCTACAATGGGAAACAATATTTCAAATCCTTTATTGTGTATATTACCATCTTTTGGATATCCCTGAATAAAGCTGACAGTACATCCTTAACAATAACTGCAAGTGATCACAATACTTTTTAATGGAAGAAGAGACAAGTGTAATGTAACTTCAGACACCGTCACCCATCCATTCCATACTACCAGGTGATAGTTTGCCTGCAACAAAAACAGAAGTTGCTGGAAAATCTCAGCAGGTCTGGCAGCATCTGTGCAGAAAAAATCAGAGTTAACGTTTTGGGTCCTCAGAACAGATAGTTTGTCTGCCTTTGTTTTATTATGTAGCAGCCCACAACTGCTCAAGGGAAATAAAAATCATTAAGAAGGGAGGCCAGAAATACAGGCACAGCAACTGAAATAAACAGGGCATCAAAATAGGCCAAAAAGCAAAGTATGCTGGGAATGCCTGAGCCAAGACAGACCCAGTCAACAGTTATTCACTCAGAGGATTCACTGCAGAAGTGCATCTGTAGATAGTACACACTGCAGTGACTAAGTGTCATTGATGGAGGGATTGGATGCTTATGGGTATGGATTGCTTTGTACTGGATGGTATCAAGTTCCTTTAGTGTTGATGGAGCTGCACCCATCCAGACAAGTGGGGAGTATTCCATCACATTCCTGACTTGTGCCTTGTAGATGGCACAAATTAGGATTGTTAACTACGTAAAAACCCACAAACGAGACTTTTTTAAATGGAAACCAAAATCCTTTCCTTTTAGTAATAGGCTCACATACAAAGTTTTTAAGATCTTCATATTTGTTTTCATGTTTTTTTTCCTTTGATTCCTTGCCTCTTGTTCTGTTGGTCGTAAGTACTTATGTGAGAGTTAGAATGCTTTTCATTTTCATCAACCCCTGTGTGTGTAGGTGAACTTTTTGACAGCATATAATGTTTAAATCCACACGCTAGCTTGCACAACAATAGGTCATTAAGGGTCTAATGATGACCATGAAGCCATTGTCAATTGTCAGGTAAAACCCATCTGGTTCATTAATGTCCTTTAGGGAAGGCAACTGCCATCCTTACCTGGCCTGGCCTACTTGTGACTCTAGACCCACAACAAATGTGGTTGATTCTCAACTGCTCTCTAGTTAATTAGGAATGGGAAATAAATGCTGGCCTAGCCTGCAACTATCTCATCCACAAAAAAATCCCACTTGTGTATCTAATCTAGGCTAATACTTCCATGTAGAGCCTTCAGGAGAGTATGGGTAACGTTGCTGGACTAATTATCCAAAAGCTTGGGCTAGTTTTCTGGGAGTTTTGATTCAAATCCCAAAATGGTAGAATTGTGAGCCATCCCAGGCCCAGGTTATGGTCCGATGTTCAGGTCTATGATCCCCGGCTAACGACAAGAAACCAGCCAAGTGTTGACGGTAATATTGGAAGAACTATCAGCTCATCAGCCACTTCTGGATAGAGGATTCTTTGTGAAGAGGACATTGAAGTTCCTTTAATCACTGATAAGAAAGGCAACAGGAAACCGCTGTGTTCTTTTCCCTAGCCATTATGGCCCGTTATTCATTGAAATTGAAGTTGAGATGCTCCAAAAAGCCAACTGTAAAGGAAAGAGTGAGAGATCAAGGTGAGAAATGTGCAGAGGACTGGTCCTTATGTAAATCACTACTCCTACTTCAGTGCAGTACTGAGGGAGCACTACATAGTCCGAGGTGTTGTTTTACAGATTAGATTGCTGCTGGTTTGGGTAAATGCAAAATATCCAATGGCACAATGGAAACATTTAACTTGTTATTCATCTGATTTCCATTTATGTAATGTTGCTATGTTTGTGCTTTGGCCTCTGCACTTTGTCTACAAAGTAACTCATTCATTGTGAAATGCACTGAATGTCCTGAGAACGTGAAATGCAAGCAACTAAATTCATGCCAAGTCTTGCTTTCATGTTCTGCAGATTTTACCCATTTCTAATTGCTCATGAGTCTTGGTGCATTGGTTTAGGATTGATCCGCAAATCGACCAATAGGGTATTGGCCAGAGAATGAAAATTTTTAAAAAGGACAAAACAACCAGTGATAAATATAAATGTAAGTGGATCTGAGTTACTTAAACATAGGCTCATGAATCAAATATTGTCAAAGCTATAGTTTGAACACCTACTCCCTCAAGGCAACCTTCTTAAGCAAGCAAATAGATCATATTTTATGGACTAATGTAAGAAAATATTCAACATTAATTGTCTAGACACATTTATTTTCTCGTCTTAACATGAAAAGTTATCCTCCTCAAGAAAGATAGAATGCAGCAAGCCTTATCGGACAAGACGACACAAGATTGGCTCCACTGTTGCTAAGGCAAACAGAGTCTCTTGATGCCTCGAGAGAACAGTGACTCTGATTGCCAAACATTTGGCAGGAGAGCAGAACTCTGGCAGAATTCTGAATTCATGGCATTCACCCATGCAACTAATTTCTCCTAGCGAAAGTACTAATAAATTTTCCACATGTCTGAATATTCCATGACAAATGTGTTTGTGACCACAAAGAACTTCCAGATGATTCTATTTTAGTTAAAAAGAGCACAATCACTTTTTTTTTCCCCCTCTGGCAGAGGCTCAATTGTTACTTACACTGGGCCTTTTAGTTTTCAAACTTTTCCACTGGACCCTCTAAATTGTGGAACAGGTTCGTTTGAGTGGCCGCATGTCATCTGTTTTAATTCAGTAAACGCATAGTTTGCAATCAGCAACAAAGCTTTTTTTTTCACTGATCTTGAAAAAAACTGCAGAGGGATTCAGCAATCTCAGTTTTGAGGATTTATCTTTCATGATGTGCAACTTGATGTAGTATTCCTCAGTGACTGCAAGTGTCAAAAACTGCAGTCATGGCATCAAGCAGTCAGTCACATTAAATAATATTCACAGAAAACCAGCCAAGAAACAAAAACCATTCGCAACAAATTCTCCTGGTAAAAGTGTTACAGGTACTGAAATACAGATTGGGACATGCTCATGAGCTTAAGGTAGTAGCTGAAATATAATAAGCAAGCTTTTAAAAAATTGCCTAAGAAGTGTTGTTTAAAAAGCACAGTATGTAATCATAATGGAGAAATTTATCAACTTCCCATTTTTTTTTTCAGGGCCAGATTAGTTATTCAGCAATAATTAGCACGGTGGCTCATTGGTTAGAACTGCTGCCTCACTGTGCCAGGGACCCAGGTTTGATTCCAACCTTGGGTGACTATCTGTGTGGAGCTTGCACATTCTACTTATGTTCTTCATGGGTTTCCTCTGGGTGCTCCGGTTTCCTCCAACAGTCCAAAGATGTGCAATTTAGGTGCATTGGGAAATACAGGGTTATAGGGATGGAGTGGGTCTGGGTGGGATGCTCTACAGTGGTGTGGATTTGATGGGCTGAATGGCCTGCTTCATTATTGTAGAGATTCTATGATTATTTAGATAGTTAGATATCTATTTACACCTTGTAGATGAAAACTTTTTCTGAGGTTTCTAACAGTGATATTAATGTGGAGAAGTAGAAATTCTCACCAGATCAATTGATTTTACTGATTGCTGTTTCCGGGGCATTTTGTTTAAGAGCTTCAAGACCCTAGGGCAATTTTGCAACAATATCATGGAGCTGCTGCTCACTGAGCATAAATAGCACAATATGGGCAGAGTTCAGAAAGAAAGGAGAAGAACATGGAGAGCTAGACATAAGCCTGAAGTCTACTCAAGTGAATGTCAGAAACATGTACAGAGAAGCATGTAGAGTAGACCAACTAGCTTTAGGCCATAGAGTTTACGAAACAGTCTTTCAATAATGTAACAGTAAGATTACAGTCTGGTATTTCTCTGAATGTCATGTGTCAAGGTAGTTTCATTAAGTAATACACAATCTTATAAAGAAGCCCAAGCCTTAAGGAAGTTCTTGATGTTGCCTTCTTCAATCCAAACCCATGGACATGAGCATAAAACCACACAGCAACTGAGAAGAAGGGGGCACCAACAAAGCAGCCTGGAGAAGAGTAATGAAAGACAGGTTGCAAAACTTTGGGATTTTCATGTTAATATGCATTTGCATTATGTATTGTATGTTATATTAGATATAAATGACATTGTGGTCAGATTCAGAGCAGTAATGGTAATGAATGCTGACAGTACATTATCAAAAGGCCCACAAATTCAAGACCAGTTTTTCAACTATTCTGAGCCCATTAATCCAGATGGTACAGACATCTACTGCCTTAACCCTGTAGAACTGACTGCTAAGTTGTATTCTCTATCCAACTGTCTCCTTCCCTAGGGCAGGTATATGACATCCGTTCTCTGTACAGTGTGGGAACTGATTAGGAAAAGGACAAATCCATGTCATGACTTGCAAATATGTACAGCCAGCCAGCCGAGGTTATGTCTATGTTGGCACATAGATTATATTTAGCGTCAGAGGTGTCATAACATGTCTGAACAGGCTGATTAAAAATGTCTAATTCTACACCAACAGAAAGTCCCAAAAAGACATGGAAAGGAGCATGGGTCAATATTGTGCTACAGTGCTCATATGCCTAGCTCTGGAACGGCAATTCAGAATTTTCAGAGATCCAGAAATTGATTGCCAATCCAGAAATCTGGAACAGAATTCAAAGGCAGGGCCATATCAATTCCTGTCTGATATTGAGGTGTGTCATAAGATTCCTGAGCGGGTTGGTTTAAAAAGTAATGGAAAGGACGATGAGTGGTAAAACTACCTCAACCATTAGCTGGTAGTGGTTGATTTTGCAGCACATACAACAGGCTAATGACCAATCTTTATTTTGTTTGCCAAAGTTTCTCCAGGTTGAAAAAATATTAAAAACCAAAACCTTCAATGAATTTATTCTTGGCAATAATGCAGAATTGCTCAATCTACCGTCAAACTGCTTTTAGTCTTCACTGGTACAGTACTGAATCAACCACTGAAAAGTGTACTATAGCACCTGCAGCTACAACCTTCATCTTATTTTACCTCTCTGTAAGAAAATGGTTGACTCCGTCTCAGTGCTCCCTGATGGCGACTCATCTGTCTGGTAGCAATGAAGGTCATAAATG